AGTAAATCCTTTGATGTAACTTGATATAATTAGTTGTCTAAAAAAATTTAATACAAACATTTGATTTAAAATTATAAGAGATACCAATTAAAATAGCTAAGTGATAGAAACTCTCGTTATTTAAATATGTAATTATGAAGGAATTATAATCCTAGTCCTTATGGACATAGTAATTTAATTGTGAGAAGTATATATTCTCTAGTGGAGATAGTTATTATCATAAGACTAATAATGTAAATTGTTAATATCCTTTTTCACTATCAAGAAATAAAATTAAAATTGAAACCATATATCATGTTTACTTTTCTTTTGTGGGATACAAGAGGAGGGCAAAAGCTATTAGGAGAACTAATATCCACACACACAAAAAAGGTGTCGCACCTGAAAAAATGTGACACGGACGGCGTGCAAGCAGAGGTCTCTGCTTTCGTGGCGGGAACCAGATGAAATGAGGAGTCACCACTAAGATTTTGAGGTAAATCTCGAAAAATCATTTAAAATGAAGGTAAATCAGAGAATAGGTTCGGGAGTCGGTTGAGTATGGGGAAGGTGTTAGGCACCCTACAACACCCGTTCATCAGAACGGTTACCTGAAGTTTGTTGTGCTCTATTAATATAGTTTTGTAATTATTTTAATTATCCCTTTTATATTCATGTGTTTGATGAAAATGATAAGAATTAGATGAAAAATATTTATTTATTTACGAGGAAAGACAGACTTGACTCAGAATCTGACTCTGAGGCCTACGTACCTTGTGATGTGGATCAAAGTCCACGTAGTTTAGACTTGAAAGTTGTTAGTGAAAATATTTTTTGAAGAGAAATTAATTAAAAATAATTCATCATTTTGCAAATAAAATAATTTTTGAAATTTTGATATGTGTATTTTAAATTACAAAAAATTATTTAATTTCAATTATTTTCTCAATTTTGAATTTTTGGAATAAAGAAAGAAAAGAGTTTAAAATTATTTTTCTTTTATGTTTTATGATTGAAAATTTTAACTGCTATACCTGCAGAGTCTTATTGGTTCATACGATAATATAATTATTCTAAGTATCTGTAGAGATTCTGAAATCTCACACAATAAAAGAATTTAAAAATTTAATTTATTTATTTATATTCTTATGTATATTTTTAAGTGTTAATAATATATTTTAGAGTGTGTGTGTGTGTGTGTGTTTTAAAGACTCTTAATTGTCATACCTGTAAAGCCTTATTGACAGATACGATAATATGATTATCCTAAATATCTATGAAGATTTTAAAATCTTACGCGATAAAGGAATTAAATTTATTTAAATACATCCTTAATTTGATTAATTTATATATATAATATTATATATATATATATATTAAAAATTTAATCGTTATATCCGCAGAGTCTTATTGACTCATACGATAATACGATTATCTTAAAAATCTGCGGAGATTCAAAAATCTCACATGACTAAAAGATATAATCGGTAAATGTGATTACAACTTAAATTCATTAATTTGATTAATTAATTTTTTTAAATTGTGTATTATATGATTATTTACAAAAATTATTTATTTATTATAGAAATTGATAATCATTACATCTGCAAGGACTTATTATCCCCATGATGATGTGATTAATTTAAATCTCTACGAAGATTCTTGAAATATCACATGAGACTTAAATAAATTATTAATCTGGGTTATAACAAGAGAGTTAAATTTAATGATGGGCCCTTTGAACCCATATTAACATATAAGTTTTATTCTCATATATGTGAAACCTTATTGATTTATACGATACGAGATTATCCTGAATATCTGCAGAGATACAAGGTCTCACAAGATAAAAGAATTAAATAATACTCACTTGAAATATATTTTAATGCGTAATTATACAATGCATATTTTTAAATATAGAAATTTTAATCGTTATACCTGTGAAACCTTATTAACTCACACGGTAGTACGATTATCCTAAAGGTTTATGGAGTTTCAAAAATCTCACATGACTAAAAGATATGATTGGTAAATATAATTATAATTTAAATTCATTAATTTAATTAATTAAAATTATAAAAATGTCTTTTATTTTATTTACAAAATTTGTTTATTTATTTACCATATAAATTATGAATCACGATATCTGCGAGGATTTATTATCCTACACGATAATGTGATTAATTTAAGTCTCTATAAAAATTCTTGAAATCTCATATAAGACTTAAATATTTATTATAAAGAGAGAATTAACTTCAATAATGGGCCTTTAAAACCCATATAAATACCTACAAAATTAATTCTCATACCTGTAAAATCTTATTAATTTACACGGTATGAAACCATTCTCAATGTCTACGGAGATTCTTAAAATCTCACATGACAAATAAATCATAAATGTGTGTGTGTGTGTGTGTGTGTGTGTATCTCTTTTCTTTTTATACTTTAGCCTCTTATAAGGAAATCATGACAATATATGGAAATAGAAAACACCATGAAGTGTTACGCATGAATAAATTTCCACAAATGAATAAAGGTTAATATAAGAATCAACCCATGCCATCACACGTTACATTTTTCTAAAACATAGTAATTAAAAAGATTGAAAAGCAATTTGAGAATCAACCATGTAAAACTAAACGTACCTAAATTAGACACATTGAATATTTTATAATACAAATCATCACAAGTTTATTTTGCAGACACCAACATCACAGATGAAGAACTTGTTAAATTTTCAAAATTAGTAGACAAACTTGGTGATTAATTTTCAAGTATCAATAATCTCAAAACTTGAATATAACTATGCCCTTGGACCATTAAGAGATGCAAGATTGTACATGATATTTTATAAATAGATAGTTAAGGACTCATGCAAACTTACGCCCACCATAAAATCTTGGAAAGAAAAGGAGAAAAGAGAACAATATTATTCAAGCTGTAGTCTTTACCTTTTAATAGTTATCTCCAATCAGCTTTTTTTTTCCTCTTCATCTTCTTCTCCCTCTTGCACTTGTAATCCAACAACATATCTGGCATTTTCTTTGGGGCTTAAAGAGAGACCAGAGGTAGAGAATGTGGTGACAATGGAAGCCACTGAGGGCAAGGACCACTGCTCACTATAGCCGGTGTTAACCCACTGTTTGGTACAGATCAGCTCCTAAAGCTGCTCATCAGTATCGTCTTGTGCCACTGCTTGCTCACATAAGCCGCCATAACCAGCGTCCTCACGTCCACGAGCTTCAACACCTCGAACAGCAGATTATTGTTGAAATACACAGAAGTACTAGAGTTCCCAGCAGCCCAATAGTCAGCCCGCTCATTGACATCCACCATCTTCATCTTTTCATCTTGTCATCATCATAGGCATACGGATGCTTCATCTCTAAGCCTGCTCCAGCTGGTTTTTCGAAGACGACCTAATGAGAAACGAATGCACTTTGATTTTTTTTTCTCTGATTGATGATTTTGTCCTGGCCTTCCTTTCTCCAGTTTTCTTCTCGTTTGGTTTTTTTTTTTGCTCTGTTTCCCGTCTCACCCTTCTAGTTTTTTTCTCTTCTTCCTCTAGTTTTCTGTGTCCGCCGTAATGTCTTGGTACTCTGTTTTAAATTTCATTTTTGTATTTTAATGAACTAAAAGAAATAAAACCAAAAAAGTCATCAAAAATAAAATTAAGCCCTATCAATTAAATTAAAAATTTTTGTTTTGAAAATATAATCCTAGAAAGGATTAAATTTTATTTTTATATTTTTATATTTTTTAGTTATTTATTATTATTTTTGTTAAATTTAGAACATGCCTCGATAAAATACGGTGTTTACAAGAGGCTTTTACAATCTTCAAGAGATTCTTTCAAAATTGTAGATTTTGAATGGATGCCATGTGCAAAGTTTGCCATAAAATCTATATATGTATTGGCTTCTCCATGGATGTACTCATAGCTAACATCTCAATCCCTCATCAAAAAGATTTTTAATATATCATATAATGTAGAAAATCGTGTGGTTATTCTCCTAGATATTCATGATTCCATAAATAGCTTCCATAAAATCCATATACAAATTAACCTTCCTTGATCCCTCGTGACAACAGAAAGTGCAATCCCTCGTGAACTGCCATGAGCTTCACTTTTGGGCTTGAAATGCTGTTAGTTGCAAGGCCATGTCGCCATTTGTCTTTATCATCTTTGATCAGTCAGTCCCAAGAAGCATGGCCAATATTGTTGACCTAGTTATCTACGTCAAATTTAACCAAGTCAAGGTGGGAATCAAGTTTACTTCATTGCACTCTATCACCTTATTTAGGTCCAAGCATGATGTTCACTTATGATCAAAAGAGAGAGACCGTGTCCATGTGTGCGTGTGTGCAAATTTTGTCCACCAATTATCAGAAAAGAAAAAGCATTGTTGGGCAACTTAACTTTAAATTATAGATTTATGAATATTTGAGATCCAAAACTTATTCTTTTTTAACTTTTGAAAACAGAACAATATATATGCTACTATTAATAAAAAAAATTAACTTTGATCATTATTTAATTAGAAAATGACAAAAAAAATACCCAAAAAGATAAAAATTATAGAAAAAGACAAAAGCATGATTTATAAAGTCGAATTTACGCAGTTTTTTGATAAATTTTTATGAAAGTATGATTGAAAGCTAAATTAAAAGGCATGTAATTGTAAATTATGAAAAAATTATAATTTTGAGTTCATAATTAATTTTAACATGTAATGTAAACTATGATTTTAAGTTTATAGTTGATTTTAATATTTAATAGAAGTGCTTGGATATATTTTTACAAAACTATGATTTAACCTAATTTTTAATTTTGTTTTTCAATTTTACTTAAAATTAATTTTATAAATCAATTATAGCAAGTAGCATAATCAATTATGTTTAAAATTAATTATATTAATTAATTTTATCTAAAGTAAATCCAAAGTCCAAACTCACTAAAAGTTTACCAAATGATGAAACATTGCCATACAAGATGCGAGCCCGACCCGGCTTGTTCCTTAGCTGACCCGTTTGGGCGGAGGGGGTGAAGGAGTAAGATTTCAGGAAGGGAATAATAGTCCAGGACGCGTTTTCATGCTCCGACGCTCTCTGTCACCGGCTAGTATAAAGGCTTCTCTGAATCCCACTGTTATACCGCAGATCTGCGTTTCTCTGCGTAGACGCCGCGAAACTCGAAACTACGCCGCAATGGTCGGTCCCTCTGGCGCCTCCTCAGGCAGAGGATCCATCACCCACGTTATCTTCGACATGGATGGTCTCTTGCTTGGTAATTCATCTCTAACCAATTTGATATTGAATTCCTTCCTGCTTCGTTTTATTGCATATAAAAATCTGCACTGCGAAATTGGACTTCTTATGTCATTAAATTCCATTTTAAGATTCTGTACTTCAAGGATTCAACACAATGATGCATGTACATTGAGTGAAATTAACGAACAGCGTTCCTCATACTATCCAAAATATCATGAATGGCCTCCGTCCAACGATTTAGCTTTAACTTTCAGGACTTGAACGTTGTATTCCTTCGTTTAGCCTACTTGTTTTATGATGCATGTCCTTCCTTACTCGAGATTGGCTTAGAAGCCAATACGCATTTCCGTTTTACCAGGAACCTGCTGGCCTCTCTGACTTCCAGTTTGTGAGGCTAGCAGAGTTTGGGGCAACTTAATATCTTGGTAGTATTCGCATTCTCATCACTTTGAAGTTCCCATGCCATGAAACCATGAATGTGAATATTCTTATTCTTTTATCACACCCTTCTTGCTCATAACTGTTCAGGTGATGCTAATATCTCACTAGTTGTTGCAAGTTCGCAATTTTATGGAAGGCATGAGGCAAATTACTTCTCAAGCATTATAAAAAAACGTTGAAGATACCAAAAAAAAAAAAACAACAACAAAAAAGGAAAAAAAGCTGAACATATTTGCGATGTGGTCTAATCCTCCATGCTGTTGATTAGTTCTTCTTGTTGATTGGTAGTGAATTGCATATAGTGGGATTTGGGTTAAAAATATAGTGGTAAATACAGTTTTCCCAATATCTTTGCGTCTGTTTGATACCAGTCAAGCTTGCTCTATAAGTCTACAATTGCCTTTTCGAGTAATAACTTATGCTTAAATTCCAAGAAGATAGTTGAATTTCATGTACTTCATGCTTTCTCTTCTGCAGACACAGAGAAATTCTATACTGAAGTTCAGGAAATTATACTGGCTCGATACAATAAAACCTTTGATTGGTCTCTGAAGGCAAAGATGATGGGAAAGAAGGCAATAGAAGCTGCCAAGGTCTTTGTTGAAGAGACTGGAATCAGTGATTCTCTTAGTGCTGAGCAATTTCTTGTAGAAAGAGAAGAGATGCTGCAGAAATTGTTTCCATCAAGTGAACTCATGCCAGGTATTAAGAAATGGAGATTGGTAATCTATGTTAAGTTATTCTCTTTTCGTTTAGCCCTTTAGATGTGTACCCTTCTGGTGAAGTAGTTATAGAAGGGTTTATAAGCAACTTTCATCACATATAGCTAATCATTAAAATTTGTTGAGAATTCCTTGTTTAATGTCTGCTGTGTGGGAACTTTTTTTTTTTTGGGCCAATTTATTAATAGGCGCACAATCATGAAACAATACCTTGAGCATCTTCAATCTCATCATCACACTACTGGAAAATTTGAATCTCAATATGAACTCTGAACTACATGATACCTAGTTGAAAAGGTTCCTACCTCGTTTACGTTGCTACCTGCTAGAGAGTAGAGACCTCAGCATGTTGCTGCTGACTTAAACATAGATTCTTTACTTCAGGGTTGTTTTGTCCATTATCAAGTTGCTTTTGGAAATGCCTTTGCTCGTTTGGCTGGTATGAGTTGGAACACTGCTTTCTCAAATATAATAATGTAGGCCTCTTGGTATTGAATATTTATATTAGTGTCTTTTCATACCTCATTGACTGCCTTGTTCAATTTTTGTTTTCCTATCTCAACCAACTCCGAGGATCTTTTTAGACTTTCAAGAGGAGTGGGATGGGGACACAGCATATGAACTAACAACTTGTTATAATTTATTCTTCGATTTGCTGTTTTGAATGTTATATATTTATCTTACTCAAAATTTGCAGCTGGGATTATCTACTTGCAAGGCATGTGCCTTTTGGTACCCCTTTTAGGGAAAATTACATCTGGGCCTCACAGAAGAGAATTTATTACTAAGAAGTCTCATAAAATTCACAAAATACTTTTAAGTCTCAAATCCTGTGCATTTACAACTAGGCTAAAGGCATTTACAACTTAACTAAAGGCATTTACAACTGGGCAATGGGCATTTACAACTTGCAAAGGAAAATGCTCGTTGTAAATGCTTGTTGTCCAATTGCAAATGTTTTTAGTCAAGTTGTAAATGCGTAGGATTTGGAACTTGGGAGTATTTTGTGAATTTCAAGAGATCTTTCAGTAATAAATTCTTTTTTGTGAGACCTAGGTGTAATTTTCTCTTTTCTTCTTTATAAATGTGGCACGGATATCCTGCCATTGAATGTTGTTCATTCATGCTAGACAAAAACGTGAAATATTTCAAGTATTGAAATCATTTACTGCTATGTAATTTATGTATAAACTTCTAATGTACTATATATGTTCTCTACAGTTGTAATATATACTGCCGTGTTATTGAAGCGATTATGATAGCCTAAAGTTTGTGACTTATACTCTCTTTAAATTGCTGGGACTAAGTAGCAGACTATTTGCATTGGATCTAACTTTTTTGCTGTAATTAACATATTTAACACAGTATGGAGTGGCTTGAAATTCATAAATGTAAAAATTACCATGGCATACTCACCAGCCCATTTCTTATTTTGATGTCCTGTTGTTTAGGGGCTAGCCAGTTGCTCAGGCATCTACATGCCAAAGGAGTTCCAATTTGCTTGGCAACTGGGTACGGTTAACCATCTTAAATACCAAAAAGAAGTGCTGAAGTTTGATGTAAATTTGTATTGACACTATTATTTATTGCAGATCTCACCGGAGACATTTTGAATTGAAGACACAGAGACACGGTGAACTCTTTTCTTTGATGCATCATGTCGTTCTTGGTGATGACCCTGAAGTTAGACAAGGCAAACCATCTCCGGATGTATTCCTAACTGCAGCTAAGAGATTTGAGGTATGCTCATCTCATGAATGTCACATGCTTCTTTGCGGACAAGCTATCTGCTCGTTTAAGGACTAAACAAGCATTTTCTTTACATCCTTTTGAGTTATGATTTGGGTTCATTTCACTAATTATCTTGTTTTGAAGTTGGTTTGTTGAATTTGAAATCGTGTATAGTGATGCTTTAAGTAATGGTGATGGTCAACAGGGAGGACCAGTAGATCCCCGTCAAATTCTTGTTTTTGAAGATGCGCCCTCTGGAGTCCTTGCAGCTAAAAATGCTGGGATGTAAGTGGATTTTTATGACATTTCAATGTAGCATTAGCAGATTATATTTTTCTGAAGTGCTAAGGGCAAAATTTGGTAAAACGGCTAGATATGGTGGTTGCTAGATCTTTCAATTTCACAACAACCTCCATTATTATTTTTTTTTTTTGGGGCAATACACGCCCTCCATTATTAGTTGCAATGCGTATACAAATGTATCACCAAGGTGTCTGTGCTTGGGCTAGATGAAATCTTCACTTTCTATAATCAGATAAGTTGTTCATCCTGTTTATTGAAGAAAAAAATTGTTGATCCGGAGTTCAGTCAAATATGACAGAGTGCATCTGTAACATTTATATAAAGTATATATATTATGTACTGGATTCTAATTCTGTCAAGTGTCAGCCTAAGGCGGAGAAATAAAACCATGAGAGGATGGGTGAGCAGAACTGAGACATTAGAGGTGAGGCTGGCCCCTATTTCTTTTTCTCTCCAACGGATCTCTCCTAGATAGATGAGGATCCTATGAGAGAAACGAACCATGAATATTGGAAGTGGGGAGTCTAAGTCCTTTCTCAGTATGTTCATGGACTTTGTCTTGTATTTTCTTGTTGGATTCTAGACTCTGGTTTGCTCATATAGGCTCTAATTGGTTAGCTATGAACATTCAAGGTGGCCAAAGTTCAACTTTTGGAAAATTATGGCTGATTGATTATCTTGATACAATATTCTATGATAGTCACTATGATTAAGAGGCCTAAACATGGTTTGATGAGTAGAAAATGGATCCACAATGTTAAGTATGGTCATCACAGATTGCGCTTTGTCACAAATCACAATGTACAATGTATGGAGGATAATGAGATCAAAATGTTGCTTGGGTTCTAACTAGTGTCTGAGCAAACAATATTGTGTGGTAGAGTTGGGAAACGATGGAACCCTATTGCCCTAAAATCAATAATTTCTTTAAGCTTAGCTTTTATTGATTGGGCTTAAAGCCGGGCTTGAAAGCCTACTTTTTTAATTTATTTTTTAAAATTAAATTTTCCATTATTATATCATATATCTATTTTCTAAAGTGTAAACTAAAATGTTCTAAAATTCAAAATAAACAATGCAAATAATAATTTTAGGGTACAAACACATGTTTACAATAAATATGGGTTTAAATTTAATCCAAATACATAAAGTACCATAAATTTTTAGGGTTAAAATAAATATGGGTTTAAATGAGTAGCTTGAACTTGAGCTATCAAGTGATGAGTCATTTGTGTTGATGATGAGCCGGAAGGCAACTGATTTGTTCCTTGGGTATTGAGAAAATGACCGTGCAATTTATCTAGGGAATATTTTAGTATGATTTTCATGCATCTTAAAGATCCGTGATTTTAGAACCCTAAGCCCAAGGGATTGATTGCAGCCAAGCTTTTTACATATGATACTTCATTAGGCGTAGATAAGCTGTATGACGGAAGCAACTCCCACTTTCATATTCCCGGTGTTAATCTTTATATGTTTGTCATGCAGGTCTGTCGTTATGGTTCCAGATCCAAGGCTTGACAAATCCTTTCATGATACGGCAGACCAAGTTTTGAACACATTGTTGGATTTCAACCCTAGTGAGTGGGGCTTGCCTCCATTCGAAGACAGTGGAAACTAAACTCGGAATCGAATCTCTACTTACTGCAGACAGAAATCTGCATCTTCACATTAAATTGGCGATACATTTGATCATTCACATGCGTAGAATGTCGCACGTTGTGATATACCTGAATATTACTGCAAATAATCTTACTGCTGCCAGACTCAACTTGAGAAACTTAGAGCCCTTAATTTATTGTTAGTGTTTGTGTTTGTCGAAGAAAAATTACTGTTTGAACGTGGCACCAAAAATGATTTAAATCTGGGATTGACCAATTTTTACTACTCCACTTGCTGCAGCAACAATTGCTTGTGGAGGGGCTTCATGTAGCAAGAAACAGATGGTATGTGTTACTTTTTATGGAATTCCAATTTATAGTATTTATTCATTATTAATTATCAGTGATAGTCGATGGAATAATGATTATGGATGATGGCTGTGTTAAATGCCGGTTTTTGGATCCAAAGAAGTTTATGCTCACTTTTTTTTTGTTTTTGGGTGGTTACAAACTTACGGTTCACAGTAGCACCTGACAATTTTTTTTTTTTTTTTGCAAGAAGAAAGAAAAAGTCAACTATCATCCCCCCTGGCCACAAGCTGACAGGCTTAGATCGTGTTAGAAGGTCCACAACATATGATTATTGGACCCATTTTTGTTGGTTATTGGATCCATTTATAATACCTCACATCCAGTTTAGTTTACATATATTTCTTTCTATTTTATTTATAAATTACTTCAACATGTTTTACTGTAATTAAGAAAGATTTTAAGTTTCATAAACTTTATTTTAAAATTTAATAAATTTTTACCTCTATCATTTAATAAGGACAAAAATAATTATTTTTAATAATTTTTTAGCATTTAATAAAAAAAGATAAATATGAATATAAAAAATAGTGAAGTATTCTGTAAATATGATTAAAATTAATTTTTACTCTCTACTTTGTAAATAAGATTAAAAGAGTGAGTTACATGAGTAATTACAATCTTCTAGTTTGTAAGGAAGAATAAATAATAATGAAAAACTTTGATAATTATTTTGGGAAAAAATCTTCTCATACTTTTATATTTATAAATATCGAACACAACATTAAAAACATGCTATCGAACATTATGAATGTAACTATCGAACATTATGAATATAAAGAAGATATGTCTAACATAGGAAGTAAAAATTATTATTAGAAATTGAATACAGATATAAGATTCCAATTTTAATTTTTTTTCAACTCTATTCTGTATAACAAGCGGGGTCTCACTGTGTCATGCTCCTCTTGTACTCTTCCGCGAGTTTCCCTTCTTGGCTGGCAATATCCTGATTCTCTTCGCCACACGTACAAAATCCCTAATATAGACATGCCTTTATTTATTAACATTATTGATTATATATTGTGAAATACTTCACCACATAAAAACTCTTAGAATAGTAATCGTATTAGGAGAACTATTTTAAATTTTTCAACACAAATAAATATCATTGACAACTTAACAAAACAAAATGTTGTTAGGGACTTGTGAATAAATTCTTTCTTCTAATTAACAAGCATAATCAACTTGAAAAAAAATATTAAAGCAAGAAAAAATCAAATCAGTGCACTTGTTACAGAAGATACATATCTGTAGAAGCTTGAAATTCTTGGATATAGAAAAGGATAAATATTGTAATAAATTGATAAAGATGCATTAAATTAAGTATTTAACTGTGAGAGGATCCCTCTAGTCCGGTCCCTTTTTTCTTTTTCCCTCCTCAGTTTTTTCACCAATTATACCAAAAAGGGATTTAAGTCCAACACAATACTGTCAGATTTATATACCTAATAATATATTACATTTATATTGATTCTTCAAGTATAAAGCTCGAGAAAATTTTATGCACACTATTTAAATAAGCGGGAGCCACTATTGTATTAGAATCTAATCAGTTTACTACATTTGCATCGATGATTGATTTATTATCCAACCAAATGATTTGTGTACTTGAAATCTTTAATAGGGACAAAATTTCCAGGGAGAGAGGGAGAGAGACTCACTTCCAGTTGAGATCACCGGCAAGGAGAAGATCATTCTCCATATCCTCATAAGCAACAAGGTGGCCAGGAATTGCATTGGAGAGATCGATACTATCATTGTCGTCGTCCCCGCCGTGGTGGCCGCCGACCTGTTCTTCTTCTGCATTATCCTGCACGAACATCTTTCTCAGAGCCTTGGCGAGACTGCGATAACTCTCATGCTGGTGGAGGCTGATGCGGTGGCAGATCGAACGGCCCTCCAGCACCACCGTCACTGCGGGGACCACTCTGGACACAAGATCGTCGCTGTCGTCGTCGTCGACCTGCTCTTCGCCTAGCCTTCTCATGATCAGCTTGTCACTGCCGCAGAGAGCTAGAGGAAAAGAACTCGAAGTCGCATTTTGCCTGAAGCTTCTCTGTTGCCTTCCGTGTTCGTCGTTAAAACTGTTCATGGATCTCAGCTAAACTCTCGCTCCTGTTGGTAAGGTTAATCAGAGATTGTTGAGTGTTATCGGAGGATTTAGATATGAATCTGAGCAGAAAGCGTGAAATCGTTTTATATATATGGACAGAGAGAGAGAGAGAGGGAGAGAGAGTGTGTGTGAATGATAATTACAAGAAAATGAAGAATAGAGGAAGAGATGATACAAGGGAGGCAACAGGCAAGGGGGAGTGATAGTAGGGAGAGGAATAGCTGGAGGAGGAGGTGGGTATGTTTTGCTTGTGACTGCAAAAGATTAGAGCATTTGATTACTTAAAAAAATGAAATAAAATTGATTGAAAAAATTAACATCAAAATAAATTAAATTTTTTTTTATAATAAATATAATAAAATTTATTAATATATATTATAAATGTAAAAATTATCACATTCTTACAAAATCTCATCTCCTTTATAAATCTGGTTTATTATTCATTTTGATAATTTTATTTTTATTTTTATTTTTTCAATTCATTACATTCCTTTTTAGTAACGAAATGGAACTTAGGTTTTAAATTTACTCTCTAATTTCATTTACAAAACATTTTCAATATTTTTATTAGAGTGAAGGAAAATTTTAAATTTTATTAACTTTGTTTAAGAATTCAATAAGTTTTCAACTTTATCCCTCTTAAATATATATACATTAAAATGAAATATTCTAATATTTAATAATTTTTTCAACATTTAATAGAGATAAAATAATCAAGATAAATATAATAATTATTGAGGTATCTTATGAAAAACAAACACTCTCTTTTTTACCTTATAAATATAGCTAGAGAAGTATTTCTTAACAGTGTCGCACGCAATGCGTACAATTCAAACTAATAGTTAAACGTGATTATTGGAACCACGCGTAGAGTGTATTGTTCTTGCTCTTAGTCATGATATGTATAGGTTGATTTCTTACATTTTTCTTTTCCAATATTTAGGCTTTCTACCTCTACTTGTGATGGCCAAAACAAGATTACATTCCCTTCAATTAAGAAACTTCAAGGAATTAACTAATTACAAATGATCGTTTCATGATTTATTTAATTTTATAAAAGTGTGTTTAGTTAAGTGTTAATCAATGAAACAAGTACATATTTAATTAAAAACAATGGTTAGGAAGAAAATTTTGTTTAGATTTAAAGTTAAGGACGAAAATTGGTTAAGTTGGACGTGCATTGTTGTCCGAATTTGATTTTTAAGCGCTTACATTAGTTTTTTTTTTTTAAGCCTTATGAAAGCTTATTGGCCTTAAATTATCCAAAAGCCTACCATTAACAAAGGCAAACTTAATTTTAAACTTTTAATCTATAGACCAAGCTATGAGTGCCCAATCGACATGAAACTGGAATCACAGATGAGCTCTTTAATTTTGGATCCAGAGACTTGATATTTATGGGTATATCAGATATAGGGAGCTTGTAAATTTGCACTCAAAAAAGATATTAAAATTAAAATTAATAACTAATATATAATAAAATATACTCAAGTTTTGAGATTTTGAATAAAAATATGATGTCATCTCATTACTTTTTATTTATTATCTTCTTTCTTGTTTCTAGATGGTTACTCCATGTTTCTTTTTATTTATGTAATCTTGTATTTCCTCCATCCTAAATTATAAAACACTTTTAAAAAAAATTGATATCTTAAAATAGAAGACAACAAAAATAAGATTTTATTAATGATGTTTTTTTTAATATTATCATTCTCATTATATTTTCTCTCTTTAATATTTTTTATAAATAAAGTATTAAATAAAAAATATTTTTAAAAGTTTAAATTTTTTATTTTAAAAAAATAAAATTATAAAGTGCATGCAATGAACTTTATTTATGTGTGTGTGTCTGAGAGAGATTTTGTTAGTTTCTAACAATTTGAAAGGGAAGGAGTATTAGAAAATCATGAGATAATTCCAGCCCTATATAGACAGAATATAGAATTGCATTGGGATGGCCAAGAAATGAATGCTTGAAAAAGAAGGATTGAAGTTATAATAAACATAGAAAGGAGGGTTCCCCAATAAATAAATACATACATATATATATATATACACAGAGAGAGAGAGTGAGAGAGAGAGAGTGGCACAATCTTGAAAATTGAGGAGTGCATGAGCTGTGTCCTCTATGAGTGTGTGGAGACGAGGTCGCCGCGATAGCCGAACAGCTTGCTGCTTTCATCATTTCTATCAACTTGTCTCCTAAATTCATGTTTCTAATAATAATCACATTATAAATATTGCTACCAACAAAAATACATGAACAAATACAATGTTTGGAGCATGTTTTATTTTCACATCCATCATTTTCCGCCATTTTTTTTAGATAGATCCTGTTTCTGTGTGTGTCAGTGTGTGTTAATTTTTATAAATGTAATAAAAATTCGAATTTCACTTTTAAATTTTACTTGTCCAAGGGTTTTTTTTTTGTGCATGCGAAAAATATTTTTTTTATATAATTATGTGGTATTCAAATATACACATGATCAAATTTAAGCAATGTTTTTTTTAAAAAATACATTTTTAATAAAAGAGAAATTACATTTTAATATCAGGAAAAATATACATAATTTTGTAAGTTTTAAATTCATAAATTGCATGTAGATAAATCTCTTTAATTTTTAAATTTTGATTCTTTTAATTCTGAAATTTCTGCAGGCAACTCATTAGTGTTAGTGTTTAACTAACATAGGCACAGCACATGATAAGCTGATAGCAACTAGTTCCTGTAACTTACTTTGAATACATAGTTTTCTTCACTATTATCGAAACTGAACCGTTGAACCGGCCGGTTCAATAGAAACCGGCCTATGGTCTAGTTCGATCAATCCTTTAGAACTATTAAAAAGTGAATCGGTAAAAACCAATCAAAGATATGTTATTTTGATTTTTGCATGTTTATTTGTCATGTACTCATGTGGTTGGTTTTTTAGTGTTATATGTGGATTTGATAATTTATTAATAATTTTAGTTAATAATAAAAGTTTGTGTTGGTTTGATTAGACAATTCGAATGACATATTTAATTATTTTGATTATTTGTAATTGATAATAAATAGTTTTAGTATAATGTTGGTACAACTGACAATAAATTTAAGATTTATGATAAGAATATAGCTAAATGTTGTATAAAATATTTTTTATTTTTCATACATGATCTTTAAATTTTATTATTTTAATTGAAATTTGTCAAACCATGGTTTGACTATAATCCAACCACGATTCAATGAACCAATATCCTGAACGGTTCAATGTACAGTTTAGTTTTGACATTGGTTTTCTTTTTTGTTAAGTGTAAGGAGTAGGTTCTGCTAATAGTAAAAAATACCTTCTCTAAAATACCAAAAGTAGCAATGAGTAGAAAAGGAGTTATGGAAAAACAATTTTTCAAAACTTTGCATCATGTATGTATAAAAAAATATTTTTTGGCATGTTACATTCCATTAATTGGTGAATAAAATATAGGAAAAAAGATAATTAAAGACCCCTTAAGGTCATTAATTTTAATTAAGGATAATAAGATATTGAAATTTTAATTAAGGACCATGGTTCTTACTTGAAATAAAAACATACATGATTTTATAAAATTGTCTTCCACTAAATACTAAAATGTAGATAACATGTTACGACTTTGCGCGTGAAAAATCTTCTCCTATAATCTGCTCGCTACTTTCATCACCTTCAATCCTAGTTTTTAATGGAATAGATCGTCATATGAGTCTTCATCTTCTCTATCTTTGTTATTGAACCATTATGATTGTATATGGTGTATGGAAAATAAATGCTCCATTTTACACTATTTCTCTTGTATAGCTAGGGAAAAAAGTAATATTGTTGATGATTATATATATACACACACATATAAAAACAAAAGAAAATATAAGAGGATTTCTGACGAAAATAGTATTAAAAAAATTGAGTGAAAGAGAGAATTATCATCATTCTATAAAATTTTTCTTTTTTGTAATGAGAAGTTTGCTAATGGTGAAAGATGTAATATGAATGCTGAATTTTTGAAGCCATAATTGAGACTATTGGAATGATAATTGTAAAGTAATAAATTTATTTATTATAAAATTTGAATGTTGCTTCTGCTTGTTTTAGGTTTAATTTAGATTTGGCAAGTACTTCAACAAAAGAATTATTTTATTATTTTCACATTGAAATACATTTTGTAAAAGATTCACAAAGAAAGATAACTTATGAATACAAGAGATCAATTTCTAAATTGATTAGAAAAATCATAAATCATCAAGGGTTATTGAAGATATTTTTTGTATAGACACCCACACCATATATATATATATATATATTTTACTTGTGATGGTGACAAGTTATATAAATAAGTTTGTAATTTAAGTAGTTTTTTTGAAAAGTAGACTACACAACTACCATTTAGGTAGATAGTAGGAAGGGATTTTTTTTTGTATAAAAAGGGATGCAAATATAGTATATATGTACTAAAATCAGTGTAATGTAATACTGATATCTATTTTAAATTTAAATATAAAAATGCTTTGATAACATAACACTATTAAAATCACTATTATAGCATGAGAATATTGTCAATGGCAGTTGGAAAAATAAGGAATCATACTTGAGAATAGATTATTTCATAATATGCAAGAAACTTATTTTTAAAACGTTCCAAGGTCAATTATAAATATACAAAAGTGACTTGAGAATTTATTAATTTCAGTTAAGAATATGAACCTAATAACTTGTCAAATTTCATGCTTATTTATATAAAGTAGAGCAATTAGAAAATAAAAACATAATACTGATGAAATTTTTAACGTGGCATGAGAATGTTGTTAATATCAATTGAAAAAAATAAGAAACCATAATTGAGAATAGATTTTTTTTGGTATAAAAGAAACTCACTTTTGAAATATTTTAAGGTCATTTATGAATATACAAAAGTGACTTGAGAATTTACTAATTTCACTCAAGAATATGAAGCTAATGACTTGTCAAATTTCATACTTGTTTATATAAAGTAGAGCATTTGAAAAATTATCGTGGCATGGGAATAATATTAATGTTAGTTGGAAAAATAAAGAACCACATTTGGGAATAGATTGTGTTTTAATATGAAAGAAACTCACTTTTCAAACATTCCAAGATCACTTATAAATATACAAAAGTGACTTTAGAATTTACTAACTCCAATCAAGAATATAAACCCACTTACTTGTCAAATTTTATGCTTATTTATATAAAGTAGACTACATGA